CCAAAATGTATACTAACAACTTAAGTCTGCCGTGTGTTGTAATGGAACCACTCTATAACTTTTTTTTTCTGATAGACGTAAGTGCTTGTTCATGAAGTTTGGATGGGATCTCAGCTCTTCACTTGCTTGGCAAGAAGGCTATAAAGCTGCATAAAATTTAAACAAAACCTCATAAAGCCCAGGGCAAAGTGAATGCTGAGGATACTTAAAAGACTGACTTTGGACAGTATGTCCACAAGCCTGAACTAACAAGCACCCAGAGATGGCAGTGGGGATCAGAGTGACATGTCAAGACAGGACCAGAAAAGCAGTCATGCTCAGGCTCAGAGCAGTCTGAGGAGACTGCTGTAATGTGGCAGAGAGTTTTAATTATGCTGGAAGGCTTTCTAGTTTCTCAGATAGACACAGATAAAATAGGTGTTTAAAAGCCACTGTATTCCATTATTTTCCCAGGTTACATGTTCTCAGCACTTGGTGACAGAGCACATTGTCTTTCTCACATCTGCTGCTGCAAGTGAGAAGGGTTTACACAGGACTATAGTAAGCGTTGGATTTCTCTTGTGCAGACCCCATCAGATGGCATATTAAACTGAGTAATATTTTGAATATACTAAAAAGGAAATGTTTATATTTGAGGATATCATGACAGTTAATGATTGCACAGGGCTTAGAAATTAGTGTTATATTTATCATTCAGATGACGAAGATATTATCACATTTTAGTTTGAAAGAATTTGTTTACTACTGATAAGAGATCTTGTTGTATATGCTGCTTCTGTTAAATGAATGTTTGTTTCCCGGTATATGTAATAGGTGACACTTGTCATCATGTTATAGTTTGTCCTTCCTTCAGATGCCTTCTGTTGGTTTCAGTGTAATCTGATGACTGAATATCCTCCCTTTTCGTCCACATATTGAGTCAACTCATACTCAGTTAGCATGCCCTTTATTCAGGCTGTGAATGAAATTTTTTAAAAGCCACTTACGTCACTTTGAAAAAGTAATGTGGTCTACCCAGCCATGTAAGGACTTCTGAAAATATTTCTGTAAATTTGGGCCATGATGGATGGGATGCAGATGTGATCTGCATGGGAGAAGAAAGGCGAGACAGTCAACACCCAGCTGGGAGTGCTAAGGTGGAATGAATGCAATGTCTTCAAATCCAATCACACAGGCCACCTCATAACCAATGACAAAATACACCAGATTATTACGATATGATCCTGTTTTCATAGTGTTCCCCAATCTGTGTGGAATTCACTTCAAATTTTGGATGTCTAAGGCAGAGAAGATTGATTGCGTTCACTGTGAGCGGCTAACTGTAAGAACACAGGCAATTGGAAAGAGCTGAGAGGAGGGCAACACGACTGATCAAAGGGTTGGAAGTGTGATCTATTACAGCTCTTTAAGCTCAAATGAGTGAAGTAAATCATGGAGATACGAACATGGGCATTGAGTGCTTTTTTCATATAATATTTTTGGAGATTGTATGAAATTCATATATTTTGAGATGGATTTTAAATGGCATAAAATTCAATTAAGTAACTCATTTTAAGGAAAATTGGAGACAAACCTATGCTTATCCATGTTAAACCCTTCTCTTTTAAACGCAGAAAATATATTAAACCTTAGGGTTGTAATACAGCTGATAGAACCAGGAAGCGAAGCATAAAAAATAAAAAATGACAATTTAAAAGTCCCAATAGGAATATTAATTGAGAGGCAGTATCACAGACAAAAGACATGCAATTTTCCTCAACTGCCTTCAAATCACAGTCGCTTAGAAACCTAAGAACTCCAGTGCTCAGTTTGGTTTTCAAAATCTTTTGCTTTCAGTTAAAAAATCAATTACGTCTTGAATGGTAGTGCTTATGGAGGGTGCAGAATTTGAATACTTAGACTGTGGTTAGTTCTGCAATTAGTCGTGGGACAGACTTCGGTTAACTTCTTGTGATAGAGAGGTTTGGGATGAAATATATCCTTTATATTACTCTGTGCATTATGGATTGTTTCATCTTTTTGGAGCTAGGCTATTTCCTAACTTGCGTTTGTTGTATGAAGTTATTTATATCCAGGGCCAACAGGGACAGCCATGGCAGCTTTGTCACTTTGCAAGAAAACCTGAGTATTAAATACTGTGATCTGAAGGAGATTTGGCCTCATGGTTCCAGGATTCAGGTTGTCCTCCAAGCCCATGTTTTGCTCTGCTGCCTCGATTTTGATGCCAATGTTAAAAGTCTTTTGACGTTTAATGGAAGAACTGAGGAGAAAGTTTAACTTACACAGTGCTAGACCTCAGGTGCCTGCACATTCCCGTGAAAACCATATGTTAAGATTACGTACTGTTCAGATGGTTTCATAGTAAGAATATTTGGGCTTCTTTCCTAAAGAAACCAGCAGTCTAAAACTCTCTTCTCACCTGCATTAAATTTCTACTGTTTCACAAAATCACAGTACAAAGCATGTTATTGACAGTTCTGTTCTCAAATCCATCAAAAGCAAGATGAAACATTGAGTAGAAATTCAGTCTTCCACGAAGAAAGATGTTGCTAAGACCACACTGCTAGATAATGGAAAACATAGGTTTTAATTTATGACCTTTGCCATTTCTCAAGAAGTGTAAGAGTTACAACTGCATTTGATTAAAAAGGAAAACTGTGCATCAATAGTACACCATAACCCATTGTCCTAGGAGGCCCCAAGCAGCTGTAAACCTGGAAAACAGTTGTAGGAGAGGTATGCATCTCAGAGAATATAATCCAGAATTTCACATTCACTTGCCTTAACTGGGTTACGACTTGCAATACTGGGGAATCAGTAGGTAAATTAAAACTACCGTTCAGTGTGTTTTTAACTTGTTCTAATGTAAAATTAAATTAAGTAAAAATACAGTGTTGATGTTTGAAGATGTCAACCCATAATAACATTGCCCTTCACTTATGTTGCAAAAGTAGCTTTCTTAATAGGATAAAATGTAAAGCATTCTCCTTTGCTTGTTTCTGTTGCTAAATCAGATTTTCCTGCTTAGTAGCCTATGAAGCTTGGCAAATTTAGCAGCAGCCTCATTATGTGCAATCATGTAATTTGTTTCATCTTGTGGAAGCTGCTATTTGAAGCTGCGACTGTTCGATTTGCCTAATTTCAGTTACACTTTTTAAACCACTTATTCTGAAACTATGGCCTAGGAGTTACCTACGTACGCAGAGGTACTGGGTTATCTGTAGATCATGCCAGGACCTAGGCTGCAAGGGGCCTCAAGGTTGCAGCTCTGTAGCATTCGTTGTCCTGCTTGAATCAATGTATTAAGATAAAACGAGGGCCATATAGCACAAGATTTGGGTCTATTTCTGGGTGATGTGCTGGGGCATGAAAAACAAGTTGTGAACCACTGCCAAAACTGTACCAAGAGAATACTTACTGTCTTAAAAACAGGAAATGGTGTGCAACGGGCAATACGAACATTGTGAAGTTTGATTTCTGTTGTCAAAGGTAAAATAAGCCTAAACTTCCTTTGCATATTGACATAGAATCAATGCCTGCATCTACATAAGCATTTAGTTCAAAGCAGGAGTGCACGTTGTGTTTTCTTGTTGTTTTTTTGTTTATTTTGGGTTTTATTAGGCAAAGTTGTCAATTCCTGCTCACTGCACGTTGGTTCCTGTTGCAGAGTCATCTTAGCTAGCACAGATGGGATTCTTTGCAGATGAAATAGAGGATGCACTGTGGGAACACTTGATGTATTCCAGTCATTAATTGGTATTGAGGTCATGGAACCAGGCTAGAGCTTTTCTGAAGTAACTCCACTGAAAATGTGTGTAGTGCAAACATTAGGTTCGTAGTACCAGCTGCTTCACTCTATGTATCTGTTCCTGTTTCTGTCATTTACCATAGCATTTTTTAAAAGGGTCATCAAAGCACTGAAGAAACAAATAATTTTTGCAGTGAAACAGATCCAAATTTCCCTGAGATAAGGATTTCTATTCTGCCAAATGTTCATTCAATACATTTATATTATCTCAGGAAAATGTAATAAGGTCCTCTTCCTGAATTATTATGAGGAGTCACTTGTACTGCTTAAAGTCTTCATTTTTTTTCCTGCCAGTAAATGACTTTTTATCGTTTTCTCTTTAACACATGTCATGTTATCACTTCACTGATTTGACTTGTGCATTTTCTATTTTGAATGTGACAGGAAGCTCCAATGTACTGGAATAGGGGAAAATTTCATTAAACACGTCTATTTCAATGTTGGTTTTATCTCATGAATTACAATATCCTGTTGATGAGAAATGTGTTATTGTATTATTGCTGCTGCAGCAAACCAAAAATGTTTTGAGCTTCCAAGGAAAGCAGAATCTGTCAGGTGTATACTAACGAAAAACACCAGTACTGGAGGATTAAACTTGAATAGAGCTTGCTCACATAAATTTAAGAACCCTTTAAAAATTGCTTCTACTTCTATAAATTTATATGTATTTGTACTGAATATTCTAACTCTAAACTAAAGCTTCTTGATCTGGGTGACATGCTTTTGTGAGGAATTCTGCACCATAATTCAGGTTAGTTACAATCCTGTGACAGTTTTTGTCTCCTAGACCAGAACTTTGTGAGCAGGTTCATGGTGCAGGGTCTTGTTGCCGCAGAGAAACTAGTATGTGAAATTAGTCCTTATGGACAAAAAAGATCTCTCATTTCATATTCTCCAAGGTCTGATTTGGAAAGAAAAGGGAAAATACAAAACATATTGCAGTGTAAAAAATCTATACTGTAATTCTTAAAACATGGTGCAGTTCTAAATAGTGTACTTCTTTGGTGTATTCATCATATATTATTGAATAATGCTAAATCTAAGACAAATTACTCGATCTTATATATGAGCAGAAAGATACACATATTTTAATCTTGTTTGCTTTTGTTTTTACTATTATTATCAGAAAATTGTTTAATAAAATAGTTATCAAGTCTAATTCACTAAAATCAATATTTATTTAATTTTACAGTGGCCTTAAATTTCCAGACGCCAGGACTACAAATGGAACTGCAAAATGGAAAATTCCTGGACAATGGCAGTTCTGGCTATATTCTGAAACCCGAATTCTTGAGGAACCGCAATTCAACATTTACCCCTCACAATGTCGGAAGATATAGTAACCCAATACGTCTGTCCATAAGGGTAAGCTTAGTTAATTGTTGGTTTGTTCTATAAAATGTGAAAACAAACGTTGTTTAGTTCAGACCTGTTAGTTACCTGTTGTTGGTTTGTCGTTTTTATTCCCACTTGTGGCTGCTGGGAACTTTAATACTGTTGTTTAACAATGTGTTAAAACTCTCGTATCTACTGCTGCTTGGATGATTTCCCTTCTGTAGTTCGCTTACGTTTGCTAAAAATACGTCGGTGTTCAGAAGTCATAAGAGTTTGTAAAAATACATGACTCCCATGGTGTTGCATACAGAAATATAAATACACCGTGCTATTTCCTTTACGTATTAGCAATACCACATGTACTATTGTAATGCTAATTGACAGATGGAAATGTTTAAAGATATGATCGGAAGCTTTATGCATCTTTTAAGTTTCATTATCTTTCTATGCATATGTAAAAGGCTATTTATCATCCTGAAATGATATAAATAAGTGTAAAAAAGGGGATGAACCAATAAGCCTTTGAATTATTTCTACTTCTCCCAAATTCAAATCTGATTTACTTCTTAAAAATAGTAGAACTACAGGTTATTTAAAACTAATAGGTTAGAAAAACCTGTCTTTTGAGGTCAAGTAGATGTTTTATAATTGTTTGCTAGTTAGAAAACTACATTTTCCCAATGAAAAAATGCAATTTCTGATTACACCGTACAGTACTTGCATAAATGCTATTTCATTAGCATAAAATTAGTGTATAATTGTTATTTAGTTTCTTTCAGAGAAATAAATAGTGGAGATAAACCATTACCTAATAACAATTATAAAATACTTACATAATGCATGCACCTAATCAAGAACATTTTAGTGTCTCAAAGTGAATATACCAATTATGAATAGACATTGCTGTGTGATTTCAAGCACTCATGCATATACATCTGTTATTTTAGCCCTTATTTGTATAAAGCTGGAGTCGATTAAGATGAGGAAAAATCCCCAATCGTAATACAGGAGACAGTCAAAATCATTGACACTGGGGAAGAAATGTCTGAGTTTGGAAGAATTTAGCATATAGCCTTTGATGTAAAAATACAAATATTCATAGAATCATCATAGAATTATGGGACAGTGAGACTTGCCACTAGATCAGGTTGCTCAAAGCCTCATCCAGCCTGGCCTTGAACGCTGCCAGGGATGGGGCATCCACAACTTCTCTGGGCAACCTGTTCCAGTGCCTCACCACCCTCACAGTGAAGAATTTCCTCCTTATATCTTATCTAAATCTACCCTCTTTCAGTTTAAATTCATTGCCGAGGTATTTCATATGGAAACTTCTGCACCTACCATGTCATTTACTCTTCTCTCTGTATGTTTTCTTCACCTTGGGTCTCAAAAATTTTTTGGATTTATAGATTTGGGCCATAGTGTGCTGAAAAGAGCTCACTCTTT